CCTCCCGCCCCCGTTAGCTGCTCCGTCCCAGCTGAGCGACAGTTCTGCAGAGTGGACTGTGATATTCCCCACAGCACTATAAACCCACCTGCCTGTCAGAGTGTGGATAGGAGAGCAAGATCCACCGTGGTACTCACGCTGTGATCTTAACTGAGTAAAAAGGAGGGACACAGGGAAATCCAGACGGGACTCTCACAGGGCTTTGGAGACAGGAAGCCCAGGGTGAAACTATCTTAGCTGTGTAATTCCGGACATAATTCGTAACCTCTCTGTAACTCATCTGTTTACCCATCAGAAAATGGGCACAGTGACTCTAGCCTCTCAAGTTGAATGCGAGGGTTACTAACAATGCATGCGGTGTGCCTGGGTCAAAAGATTCCAAGTCATATCACGGCATCACATTATCAGAGCACGATCACTGGCACTTCTCAATCACCTGCTATATATATTACATATAATATAGATTTTTAGGGGCCAGGGATTTAGCTCAGTGGCTGGGCGCCTGCCTCGCAAGTGCAAGGTCCCGAGTTTGATCCCTGGTACCAAACCAAACCAAACCAAACCATATATATTATATGTTTTTAAAAGTTTTAACAAAAGAGATAGATCTAGCTCTGCAGCCCGAAAAGGTCAGGATTACTTCCTGAAAGAATCACCTACTCAATCCCAGGATGAAATGACACTTAGCACATCAAATGCTCAGGGACCGTGTGGGCTGACCTATTACCCTGTCTTCAAGTTCAAAATAGCACAGTATCCTCAGGATCACGATGCCATGGAAAAGTGACCTCATTTTCTGAAATTCCCCAGCCACAACCTGACACTGCCTTATTTCCAGAGGTGCAGAGTTCTTAGGGACCAAAGCGCTCCCAGGTGTGGGAAGGGTGTCCCCTTCCCCTCTGTGGTGAGACACTGACCAGGAAACCCACTGGGATGAAAGTGATTACAATTTACCAAATAAACATCCGGCACAGAATTTGGGCCCTCCGGTTACCCTCCACTGCCACCCAGAACGAATGGGTGCCGTACTAACAGCAAACCTGATCCCTAATCCTTTCCCTGCATGGTTATCCTGGCCAGAGAACAAGTTGTCATCCTGGCTGATGCGTCAATCTTGAGACAGACTGTTATAGTTCAGAACCGTGGCGTTAAGAAATCAGAGGAAACCAAAGCTCAGAGAGGTTGGAGACTTGATAAAGGCCCCATATTTGGTAAACGGCAAAGGCAAGACTCAAACCCTGTTTTGTCTGAAGCCAAAGGGTAACCTCTTAGCCACAGAAAACCATACACAGCTTCTCTGAGGCCTAAACCTGACACTCAGAGGAAGCCCCAGTTTGGTGTCCACTCCTCCCCATCAGCAGCTCCGCAGACTAGGAATTATGGCCCAGCAGAGTTCAAAGAACCTTCTCCTATCAACCTCTCACCACTCTGCTCTTCAAGCCCTGCTTTGCTGTCGCGCTGCCTCTTGTCTGTCTTCTGGATTACTCTGCTCCTGCCAAAGCTGTCTTTTTTTCCCTCCAGCACAGGAATTTCCAGCAGCACACACTGTTCCGCCCATCTGTGCACTTCCTGGGGGGCCCACCACAATGTTCTGGAATCCTTCAGTTCTCAACAACTGCCCAGAGATGAAAGAGCAGATGAAAACCATGCTGAGTCCCAGCCCAGCTTCCTGCTTGTGAAAGCAGGCAACCCAAGTCCTCCTCTTGTTTGTGAGCTAAGTAAACTCCTACTCACCCCAGAAAGCCTCCCTCAGATGTTAGCCTCTCTCTGCAGCTCCCAGACCTGTGTAGACTCCAACCTCAGCATGATTACATTGCTGATATAGACTCTTCAGGGCTAGAACAGAGCTAATTTAATCTTGGGGTCTCTGAGAAAGGGTCAGCCTTTGGCTCCTGAAGGCGGCCCAGGCTGCTCTCAGCCCTTTTATTCTTTGCCTCATCCTGCCCCTTCTGTGGCTCCAAAGATTGTCCTGATTTCTACCCACAACCTCATTCCCCTCCAGCAAGTGAGGGGACCCCAGCTTGGACTAACTCAGAATAGATCTGTCTCAAACCACACAGGTGGGCACCTGCAAAAGAAGCGCCACTTGATGATTGGGGCTCGATGCAAAGTGAAAAAAGAAATAGGACCTCTTATAAATGATGAGGGGCCGGGATTTGGCTCAGTGGTTCTACCACCTGCCTCACAAATGCAAGGACCTGTGTTTGATCCCCGGTACCCACCAAAAAAACGATGAAAACTTTCAAGATGATAACTACGGAGTATTAAACCAAGAGTGGAGCTCTTCTAAGTGCACAAAGTCAGCCCTGGTCCCCAGCGAAATTCCCACTCCTAGAGACCATCTTTTGGGTCTGCCCAGGCTTATCTTGGTAGCGCTGTCTGCCTGGACTTGTTCGTGATTGCTGAGCCCAGGCCACTGTGGGAGATTACAGGACATCTTGGGACGACCAGAGACAGAGCTACAGCTGTAACACAGCCCGGCTCATCCATACAATGAAATATCATTCAGTCATAAAAAGAATGAGCTATCGAGTCAGGAAAACACATGTATTGTTAGGTAACACAAACCAATCAGGCTAGATTCAGTGGAACCATGTCCAACCATGGGACATTCTAGAAAAGGCAAAAGCATGGAGTCAGCAAAAGATCAGTGTTTGTTAAAAGCTGGGGGAGGAAGGGCTGAACAGACACAGAATAGATGAAACTATTCTGTGTGACACAGTAATGGTGGATTCACGTTATTTTACAAATGTCAAAATTGACAGACTGTGACATTGAGAATAAGTCTTACTGTAAACTGTAAGTGTGGAGTTCAGTAATAATATGTCAGTATTGGTTTATCAATGAAAACAAATGTACCTAACTAATACAAAATGTAAATAACAGGGGAATGCATGTAGGGAGTAGAGGGGAACAATGTACTTTCATATCAATTTTTTTAATCCTCAAACTGTCCTAAAAACAGTCAATTCAACAAGCTGCATAGGGCTATATTCTTTATCCAGGGTGATCATGAGTGCTTCCCTCACAGGTCAACAGGCATCTGCAGAGACACCTTTGTTTGGGGGTCAGTTGGATGCCCCAGATTTCTTGATCTCAATGCTGAAATCACGAAGAAACAAGAATTTTGGTTGAAGCCTAAGAAGAGGGCCCGGAGGGGAGGTAAGGAGCGAGTGTGCTGTGATTTACCTGCCAAGGACTCCAGCAACTCCTGTACAACCTCAGTGTGCCCCAAATGTGTGGCCACCACGGCTGGGTTGTCATCCGTGGGCTCCGTGGACAGCTCCACCTGCTTCTCGGTGAGCAGATACCGGACCATCTCCAGATCCCCGTGGGCTGCAGAGATGCTCAGGAGCTGACCCTGGTCAGAACACAACAGGGCTTCCATGAGACAAGCTCGGTCTAGAACCACCAAGGGACGTGACTTTGAAGTCGGGCTAAGGCTGGGCCTTCCCAGCCCAGGTTGGCAACTCCTGCCATGCTCAGCTTGTAATGGAAAGTCACATGATTTCAGAGACCTCGTAGGAAAGGTAAACTAGCTCACTGCTAAGTTGATTATGTGTTGGAAAAATGATCTTTAATATACACAGATGCTCCTCGGTCTACAGTGAGTGGCATTCCAAATAAATCCATCATAAATTGCAAATGCTGTAAGTCAAAAATGCATTGGATCCACCTAAGGTGTCCCACCCTAGATTCACAACACAGCACCCTGGAGCCACAGCTCTTTTCCCTGGTGACCGTGTGGCTCCCTCTGAGCTGTGGCTGATGCCCCTGGCCAGCACCACGGGACATGACTGGACAGCATAGCAGAGCTTAGGAAAGAAGAGAAACTCAAAACCCAAGAATGAATTTTACTGACAGCATGTGGTTTTCCCCTAGTCCAAAAGTCATGATGAGGGGCCGGGGATTTAGCTCAGCGGTTCGGTGGCCTGCCTTGCAAGCGCAAGGACCCGAGTTCAATCCCTGGTACCAAAAAAACAAAAACAAAAGTCATGGTGAGGGGTGATCAAATAATATGGCGAAGGTTTGAATTTTTTAAAAAAAAACTTATTATCTTAAAAGACACACCTCCAACAATGATAAATGTATTCAGAGAGAGAGAGTATTTTGTGTATTATGAGGGGGGTTAAAAGAAACATGTCCTTTACTATATTATATATTATATATTTTATTTTATAATTTTATATTATTGTATATAATATATAACATATATTTTATATACTATATATTTTAATTTAAACGTTCACTGTATTTGCTGATCACCCTTCACTGATCAAACATTCAAGGGAATGCCCGTCAAATAAAATATTATGCTGTGTCCTCATCCACCTCATTCGCCAGACCTGGTACCAAGTGACTTCCAGCTCCTCCCCAAAGTCAAAATGGCCTGGAACGGCGCATGTTTTGAGCTGATGCAGGATATCGAGGGAGCCACCAGAGCACGACTTAAGAGCACTTCCAGAACTGCCTCAGAGTGGCAAGAACGATGGGTGAGTGTGTGGGGAGCACAGGGAGCGTTCCAAGAGGGATTACGGGCAATGTGTCATTTACTCTGGTAAAGTTTTAGAAGCCTAAGCATTCACTGTATTTTATCATATCCCATAAGACAAACCACAGCGAGTTGGAAACCAGCTATAATCAGGTTAAATAAAATAATATTAACATTTCTTCTGTTTCTGTCCCCTCCACCCCCTTCTTGTTCTTATTTTTTGAGCAAAGGTCTTATTATGTAGTTCAGGCTGGTTTGGAGCTTGGTATGTAACTCAGGCTGGCCTCAAACTGCCTCAGTCTCCCAAGTGCTGGGTTTACACACATGCACCACCATACCGGGCTGTTTACTTCTTTAACGTGGCTTAGAGAGTCTGATATTGTCTCTGTGGTTTACATTCTATTTCTACTGAACAGCACGACCCTTGGTCACCTGCTTTGTGAAGATCAGGGCCATGTGACTGTCCCCCTCTTGACCCAGAGCCACAGCTCAAATGCCAAATGATTCAAGTTGAGTGAATTTAGGAAAAGGGGAAGCAAGTAAACCCTGTGGAGGCCCTTCCTGCCGGTTACAGTCAGTGGAATGTGACAGGTGAAGAGACTGCACAGATCTCAGCCCATGGCCCAAGGCCCTCCAGGAGCCTGCAGTGGGACTTTGGACGCGGTAATCCAGAAATGGACCTCACTGAGCACCAACTGCGTTCCAGCCACTCTGATATATGGAGCCTCATGAGGCATGCAGTGCACTAACACAAGGCAAGGATACAGAGGATCAGAGAGGTTTCATAACTCACCTGAGCTCACACAGCCCACCAGTGGCTGTCACAGACTAATGTAAAATGGCTCTGATGTTTCATAGGCTCCTGGGGTCCAAAACAAGGGTGCTCAGGTAGATGGTGGGTTGGCTGGTGACGTGCGAGATGGGTCATTGGCATTTCAGGCCCTTCTGGAATGTGGCTGCTTGTGCATCAGCAGGTTCAAGGCACGGAATGAGGCAGCTGCCGCCACCATCATTTATAGAGGACCTGCTATGTGTAAGATGCCAGGCTGAGCCCTGAGGATGCCAGGGCAATTTGTGGCCTCCATGAATTTACAGTCAAGTTCAAGGTGGGAATCTGTTTTAAAACGTCGCCAACCAGCATTGACAATTTGCTGAATGATCACTGGAGATCATGCAGGGTGAGACGTTAGGGCGGGGATGGGTGGGTGGACGCCCTGGAAAGGCGAACGGGATGTGTCGGACTCCGCCTGCGTGCTGCACAATGCCCTGAGGAGTGCCTGCTTTACGCCCTCCCGAGTCACGCTGGGAATGCATCTGCATTGCTACCCCATGAAATGAAAGGAAATGAAAGCGCACCCACTGCAAGGGAGTCGGTGACGGCACACAGGGTGTGAGCTGCAGCTTGTGTAGTTCCAGAGCCCGTGTTCTCTCCCTTCCACCCAAGACCTTCCGGAAAAGGTGGATGTGGAGGACTCAGGTTCTGTGAGTACAGTGGATGGGTCTGTGATGGCCATACATGAGAGAAGCAAGGTGAGACAGTGTTGGGGGCTGGAATTATTTGGAGGATGGTAGAAAGTCACATATTCGATATGACCAGAGAAGAACCCACCGACCTGCTACCCTGTCAGGGTGGGGCCCGCAGCCCTGCCATTCCGGGAGAGCAGATGCATTATGGGGAAAACTCACAGTGATTGATTTAGTGGCTCATGCAGCTAACAGCTGTCTAGACTCCAGGCGATTACAGGCTTAGGAGCCCCAACCTCACGAGGAGGGTAGGTGGTGTCACAGAGACAGCCCAAGACCAAGAGGGACCAGAGGGCAGGAAGGGCTGGAGCTGTCTCCCTGCCTAGAGACAGCCTGGAGGCTCTGCGGTATGCACTCACTTTAATTCAGTATAAAATAGAAAGCGGAGGGCCGGGGATTTAGCTCAGCGGTTCAGTGGCCTGCCTTGCACGTGCAAGGACCTGAGTTCAATCCCCGATACAAAAAAGAAAGTGGGCCTCCTCTTATGTCTGTTTCTCAAACCCCCTATGAAAGGCAAGCATTCTAGCTTCTAGAGTATTCTAGGCCTTCCAGAAGATGCCTATCCATACATACGGGTAATCCATAGGGATCCAAATGTGCTTTCCACCTAAGGCAACGGAACTTTTTATCATAGGTGACATACTGACAAAAAAATGTGAGGAAATTTTGCATTCCGTTAATGAACTGCCACTCGATCACACTCCTGGCTGTCCCCAGGCCAAGGAATAGAACACTGCCTGTGTGCAGAGGCCCTGCTGCACCCCACTCCCTTCACTGCCCTTCCAGAAGGAACCACTATCCCGCGGAGATTCCTTTTGCCAGTTTTCCGACATCATAAAAGTGAAATCATTCTTCACACGTCATTCCTGAAACTTTCTGCTATGAAACTGGGATTCACAGGAAGTTGCAAAAACAATCCCGGGAAGACCTGAGTAGCCCAGGTTCTCCGATGCTAACACCTTCCCATGTTGCAGCACTGTACGCAAACCAGGAACGTGATGCTAGTCCAAGGCGGGTCGTACGTGCAGACTTCCGCCAGTACTGCCACAGTCCAGATGAAGAACTTACATGTGCCAAAGACATCTCCGTCATGCCGCCTCCTCACAGTCTTACCCACTCTCCTCTTCACCACACCTATGCCAGGCAACCACTAATCTCTGCTGCGCTTCTGTAATTCTGTGGAATTATGGAATGGAATCACATATGCGCTGCATTTGGAGACGGGGTGTCCTTCCCCCCATGCAGCCCCTGGACCATCTGAGATGCTGCCTACTTCCTCAGAGTGCCTCTACGTGGCCGAGAGGTAACCCTTGTCACCCACCTGCCGAAAGTTTCTGACTAAATCTAGTTTACGGCCATTACAAAACCCTGCTATGAACAATCACGTGCTTATTTTAGTGGGTACCCAAGTTTCATTTCTCTAGACTAAATGCTCAGTTCAACTGCTGCGTCATAACGTAAGCATCTTTTTAGCTTTTAAAGAAACCACCAAACTATCTCAAGTTTCTGCACCATTTTACATCCTGACCAGTCATGAAGGAGGGATGTCGTCCCTCTGCGTTCTCATCAGGATTGGGCGCTACACTATGTACTGGTTATTTTCGCCATTCTGTTAGGCGCAGTGAAATTTTTCATCATGATTTTCATTTGTATTTGTTTAATGGCTGTGATGCTGAATGGCTTTTCAGGTATTTGCTGCTTATTCAGCAAAATATTTTTTCATTCATTTCATACTTTTTGAAATGAACTGTTTGATTTTTAGTGTTCAATTTTTAGAGATTATTTATCTTCTAGGTATGAGTCCTTAGTCAGATGTGTAGTTAACAATTATTTCCTCCTCTAGAGCTTGTCTTTTTATCCTCTTAACAGAAAATTTCTCAGAGCAAATATTTCAGTTTTATGAAGTCCAATTTATAAATTTTATTTTTATTTATTTATTTTGTGAGACAGGGTCTCACTATGTAGTTGAGACTGACCTGGAACTCACTATGTAGCTCAGGCTGGTCTCAACTCACAGCAATCTTCCTGCCTCAGCCTCCCAAGCGCTGGGATTATAGGCATGACCCGGCTATAAATTTTTAGTGGATAATTTCTTTTATAGATTTTCTGTGTAGACTACCATGTCATCTGCAGAGAAAGGCTAGTTTTCCTTTCGCCTTTCAGATCTATAAACCTTTTATTTAATTTCTTTGCCTTATCGCATTCATTCGCTATAAATTTCAATAGTATACCAGATAGGATTATATTGAATATAGTATGTTACAATTATTCTTGAATGGAATTTCCAGTATCCTTGGAAATTACCACCATTCTGCTTTATTCTTTATAAATCACCAGTCTTAGGT